TAACAGGAGTGTGCGTCCTACGTAGAGGGTGAAATGTGTTCTCTGGAAGCTGGAACTGTAGCTGGGCTTCAAGCAGGGTTCATAGCAGTAACACAGGCTGATGTTGGACTGGGGATTCTGCTTAGAGCTCTGCAGGAGTCTGAAGGCAGGCCTGGCCATGGTGGTGGAGGACAGAAGTATCTTACGCTATATCCAGCTGCACAATATCAAGCTCTATTTTTTATAGTGACATTTTGCTGACAATGCGAGCCACAAGGGTAAAGCTCAGAGAAACCCTCAAAGAAAATTAAGTGATATATAGACATTATTTTCATTAATGTTAGACAGTCATCATGGGACCAAAGTGGGAGTTTGCGAAATAGAGCTACTAATGTTATAAAAAGCCTTCAGAAAAATTGCTAAAAGTTAGACTAAGGCTAGGATTCCCAAGGGCATTCTGAAGCCAAATGTAGAGCTAGACACACCCTTCAAGTTAGGAAAAGGGAACTGAACGTCAGGTGATGCAGCAGTATCTGCTGCTGTTTGGTGGAAGAAGCATAAACATTTTTTAGAAGCACTTCTGGGACACTGAACCTGGAATACAGCCTCAGTACTGAACTGAGCCTCAGTCCAAAGGACTTAGGCTCTTTAGTGCTGCTGTAATGCACAGAAGTGCCTTCCGCTTCATTCTTCCTGCTCCTTGCAGTGAGCTCTCCCAAGTACAGACACTTCACCACAAAATCCCTTCCTACAAGGATGCTAAACCTAACTGTCTTTTAAGTTAATGCAAAATAATGAACAGTGATTAATCGGAGATTGTCTCTTAAAAAAATAAAAATTAAAAAAAAATGGGTATGTGGTTTGCAGCCAAGGCATGTGTATAAAATAGGGAAAAAAGGCATGAGAGGATGACATGACCAGAACACGGCCACAAGGTTTCCCTAGATTTACTATTTTGCCATTCTTTCTTTCAGATAGAGAGAAGTGCATTTATATATAAACATAGTGATGACAAATTCTTTGAAATTAGACAGCAATTTAGATCAGAGACTTTTAGAAACAAGTTCCTGACTCTTATTTTCATATTCAGTTTCCTAGTTTTCCTATTCATCACATAGATGAAAAATATAATTGACAAACATTTCTCATTTCTGCATATTGTCTGTCACAGCATGTATTTTAAATAATTTTCCATCAGAATTGTTTTAAGCCTGTTTTGCTATTGTAGAGAAGTCTTTCTCTGGATCTTCTTCTGGTAACAGAAAAAGTACAATCAATTTGAGGATTATACACATGTACACTTTTTCAGATGCCATAATTACTTCTTTCCAGAAAGTTGCTATTCTGTGACTGTTGCTTCACTACTTGACTTGGAATGATGTCACTTGAACAGGTACTGCATGAACAACTCAATACGGTTACTATTCAGTGCAACTAAAATGGAAAAAATAAAAAATAATCCCAACGTATCTAGGAAAGTTCAACACACTTGGTTATTAGGACTGAGCTTTTAGTTGGCTTTGTTTGGAGGGAAGCTGTATGGTATAGTTAGTCCAGTTTGACTGTACTTTGCAAAGAGATTTGCTACCAAATTTTCCTCCGAGAAACATGGAAGTTAAAAGCAACAACAACAACAAAGTTGTTTAACTCAGCAAAATATGTTTTCTTCCTACTGAAATCTGCTCAACTGAAGGTTTACAGATTAGCCTCTGGAGGCAGGCAAAGGCCATAAAAATAAAACAACTTGAATTGCTATTCAATAGTAAAAAGTCTATGAGCTTGTAGGATAGTACAGGAGGCAATAAGCTGTTGCCTGCACACTGAGGCCTCATTCTTAGAAATGCATCCAAAGCAACGTGTCAAAGCAGTTCAATATGTGAGTTTTGTATCCTTTTTGGAATCCCAATATGAACCATATCATTAGCTGATCAGTATTTAACTAGACTGTATACCTTAGCACCAGCTCCAGGTAAAACAGTACTAAGCAACTGCATTTTTCTAAATGTTGGCATCAGAAATTTTACCCTTTTCAAATACATCTGAAAACATGGTCTAGTACTTGATCTAATTCCTGCAAAACATACAACAGGAAATCTAGAGAAGATTTTACAGGAAGGAATTACAGGAGTGAACTTTTTTAACTCAGAATAAAAGTACATGAAGTGGGGGAGGATGCCATCATTCACATTCTGTCTCCATATGGCTCTACTTAAAACTGTATGGCATCAGGACAAGTTCATACTGCAGAGACAGGGGCAATCTGAACTCGTAGGACTGGTGTTTTGGGTAGTGTCAGGGTGCCAAAAGGGGACTGATTAATGGTTGTTCTGATGCAAGTGGAAAACTGTATCTCTCACTATCCAGTCTGTACAGATTAAAGGCAAGGTAGAGGAATGGCTGAGACTGAGAAGACGTTATCATTTTAGAGCAGAGCAATCTTTATTCATCTATTATGGTTTTAGTACTGGAGGTTTCAGGTGCAAACCTAGAATGACCAGCAGTGCCCAAAGCAAGCATGGCTGTATGATGCAATGAGAGCACTCCATTGTAGATACCACCCCCTATCACAAAACTCCCATACAAAACTGAGTCTCCTTTGATTATGTGGGAACTTTGACTGGCAAGCTGTGCCCTCAGGATATAATTTTAAATGCACTGACACATACATCTTAATTTCTTTAGAAGGAGTTGGTATCAGAAACAGGCGGAATGAAACTTTTGATACAATAATGACTTTCTGCTAGCACAGTGGGAACAAGTGCTGTGAAAAACTATAACTGAAGTCTAACTGCCAAGAAAAATGGACAGTGTGCCTACAATAAGGAGTGCTCTTCATTTCTGCAGGTGACATTTGTTTACTTCAGGCTGCTGATTAACCTTGCCACCTTTGGAGCCGATTGGGACGCTCTGACCTCCCATTATTTTTTGGACTAGCAAAGGCATCTGAGATTAATGAATGAACAGTTTCCTCAACTTGTACTTTTTGACCTTCTACTTCATAGCATTTTCACTTCCCATGTTACAGAGCTTTTCCTCGTGGTGGATGCAGAGCCCTCACTTCCCAAAAAACAGAGAACTCAGCATCAGCAAGACAGAGCTCGTTGGGGGGTAGTCCTGGATGGCTGACAGAGCTCTGTCAAGTGAGAAATCGGGCCCTTTGTGGCTAAAATCAGATTATGAACACTTCAGGGAAGGCTGCAACATGCTTTTCTGTCACTGTAGAACAATAATGATAGGTGGATTAGGTAGTAGGCTAGAGAGAGATGTGTCAGCACCGATCATCTGACTGACTGTGAAGGGAAGAAATGAATAACATTGGACAGTTAAAGTTTCAAGTAATTGAAAGTATCTACAATGTAATGAATAGACATCTGGCAACAGTATAGTGTTTCAGTTAGCACATCATTTTGGATAGCTGGAGTTCAGCTAACTGAGGTTTCACTATAAATGCATTATAAAGATTTTCCAGTATGCAGCTCCTTTAACTCTGGAGGTCTTCAGGATTCTTATATCAAATCCACTACTTTAAGGGAAGACAAAAAAAAAAAAAGTGTAATGTAGTGAATCCAACCAACATATTAAATGCATTAAAGCCTGTATCTTCCTGCCAAGGCTGACTGGTCCAGGAGATGGAATGTGTGTTTCTCTAAGACGACTACAAATAGATCCTCTCCCACCAGAGCTGAAAAAGCCAGCTGAGCCTGCCAGCAAAAATGTAAAGCAGACATTGATCACAGCAGCCTGCACCTTCCCTCCACGTGCAAGCTCTATGTACTAGCAGGAAGATGAATGAAGAACACCAAGCACAACTGAGCCTAGGCTGCTTTTATGCACTTCTTGAATTATTGCTAGCTCAGAGGCACTGTAACTAATTTGACGCTATTAACTTCTCTGTGTGATGCATCTCAAACAAAAATAAGATACATGCAAAATGTCCATGTGATTGGTTTGACTGAGATTTTATTTAATATACATGGTAAGAAAGCTGATCTTATACATGTTTATTATTTGCTGAGGAAAGAAGCCAAGCCAGCAGTCTCGGAAACCAAAGGCCTTCATCTACTCATAAAAAAACCACCTGAAAGTTAGCAAACACAATGACCTCAGAAGGATCATTATCAGGGTTTCAATGTCCCACCTTCGATATAGAAATCTAAACCTCCTCTTACAGCTTCTGTTATGCAAATATATATATAAAGAGAAATACTCTCATAGCATGACTTGCATGTTTGGGAAATATAACTATTGAACTTACCGCCTATTTTTCTAACATTTACTGTTAATGAATACATACTACCAGGGCTATCTTTGCTTCCAATTACCTGCTTCCTTCCTACAGCAGCAAAAAATTTCCACTCCACCACTCCTGCAGAAATTCCTCTTTTACAAATTTCACATCAGTGACACAACCTTTCAGTTCACTTGGCCGTCATTCTTCTAGTGACAAAGTACTCAGTGTGAGGTACCAGCCTCTGATGTTCTGGTCCTCTCACCGGTTTGTTTGAGGTTCAAAAACCTTGACTGGAGAAAACTCACACAGAAATTGACAAGAGCAAGTCCTTCTTCAATTTCCAATGCAATGCAGAGCCTTTCCTACTAGCTCTGAAAGATTTTAAAGCTAGGTTTTAAGATACCGTTATTATGCACTTTACAGATATTTGAAGCCATCCTGAAATATCTCTGTAATAAATTTTCTATTCTAAGCAATCTACAAAAGTTTTTTTAAATGCCTTAAAGCATTTCCACTACAGCTTTTGTTCCAGCTCAAACAAGAAACCTTAAAGCTTCAACATGGAGCAACATATGATTTTAACTTATTAAAAACTCTTCAAAACTCACACATGCACACACTACTTGTGAGAAAGTTGTACCATATTCATGCCAATAAAAATCCTTAAATCGATTATGTTCTTGAGAAAACAGTGGTGAACTTATAATTCACATCTAGATATGTATCAGTAATTATGTTCATGCACACAGAATTTATTGGAAAGCTACTTCAGTTAGGACATCGGTAATACCTTCTTTTTGCTGCAGTAAATCTGCCATTTCTTCTCTGGAGGGAGTGCAAACATAGCCTCTCTGTTCTTGTCTGTAAGATCCAATTCATCCTGGAGATTGTGAAAAAGAAAAAGAACATGGTCAACAGCTGCACTGGTGATTTCTAACGTATTGAGAGGAATCTGAATCAGATACATTGACTAACATTCAATCAAAAGGCAGAAGACTTTGTGCCCCCCAAAGACCCCAAATATTACTGGTTTTGTAATCTTTGCATTGCTACTGCAAGCTCTCCCTGTCAGAGCACAACGTATGGCGCAGGCAGCCTGAACAACCGCCATGTCAGACTTCCATTACTTGTAATTAGTAAGGGATGGGAAAGACCACATTAAAGGGATGAAGTTAAGAACTCAAAGTACTGGCTTATGTAACACTGATGCTCCTTAAGGTTCTTGGAGAAAGGCTAAAAATTCAATACAATTTTTTTCTGGACTGCAGTACCAGCTTGGTCTTCCAGTTAAAACTGCCAATGGATTTATGGCACGTGCCACTTTCTTCTATTTCTGGGCAGAAATTGAGAGATAAAAATAGTGGTTTGTTTCTTCCCAGGGCTGACAACCATCTAGAACAAGAACAATGAAGTCACCATATCTTTTAAACAAAGGTCACAAGGCTGTAGTCTAGAAGCAGTAATGCCATCAGCAACTTATAGGTTGAAAAGGTTTCAGTACTCTTGTGTTTGTCCTCTGGACCACACAGTCCCTGGTAAAATACAAATAGCAGTTCAGAATCAGAGGACCTAACTCCACACAACTTTACATCAGGTTAAACAGATCAGCAAATTCAGTCTCCATTAAGAGAAATGAGTTCAGCAGAAGACACCCTGTTAGAACCTAGCCAATCTCACATTAACAAAATGAGGAATAATGCTGTGATCTGGAACTGACTGCCAGCTGTGTCAGGAGCCCCCTCTGGATATGCCACTGAATTTCCCAGCATCAGTTTCTCTCCTGTAACAGGTAGATACCAATAGCCTCATTTCCTATTCATGGCTCTATAAATCATCTCAGCAGAGACAGCCACTTGCTCTCTGCTCACTCGGTGCTGACCAGAACAGGACTCCAGTCCCAGCTGGCCATTTCAGTTGCTGGTGGGAACAAGTAGGGATGGTCTTCAGAGCACGCAGCCTGCATGAGCAGGGACAGACAAAGGTGTCTAAGGGAGAGTTACAGCGATAAAAAGACAAGCTGCCAGTAGTATTTCAATAAATCAGTTTTGGCAGGGATTCCTTCTTCCTATCTATTTGAAAGTGTTTGGAGAAGGAAGCGTCCAGGGCCCACTATCTAGATGACATCGCAGTGCTGAGAACGCCACACATGCAGATTCTGGCACCCACACTAACCTAACCCAAGCACAGACAATACCTCTTTAACTCAGCCCAACAATGGCTCATTTGGAAAGCTTTCAGGGCTGGGAAACTTGTGAAAACAGTGAGCTAAATTGCACACTGAGCCTGGTAGCGGCTGCTGACAGATTTAAAAGCCCATAGAGATTTCAGCTGCAAAAAGGTACAAAAGAAATGCAAACAGTAACAAGGCAAGGTCAGTGCCAGCAGCCCAAGGTAGAAGAAGCTGGAGTGTTTTGTTTTGTTTTAACACAAGAAGAAGTTTAAAAGAAAAGATGAAAAAAAAAAAAAACTCGAGCTGTGCAAAAAAAGTACAAACCATGTGGAAATGTTTAGGGTGAGTTTCCAAACAAGAGGGCAGCCAAGCGAGGCAAGGAGTTTTATCCTTGCTACACACAATTAGAAAGCTCAGGCCAGGATCGCATTCTTGGGGAGAGAGGGAGAGTGAAACGACATGTAAGGTCTTAAGACAAGCAAAGGAATGCTGTTGGAGGTCAAGCATGTGGGAGGGAAAGGAGGGGCAGACAGGGAATCAGAAATGCCAGGTTTGGAAGAACCACCAAAGGGGCCAGAATACACATCTGAAAAGGGCTGGCTGGTCTCAGCTAAATTCTTAGAAAAATTACGATTGTTTTATTGAATGGCTTAATGATCTTAGCCTTTTTAAAATATAGTAATAATAATAATAATAATAATAATAATAATAATAATAATAATAATAATAATAAAGCTGAATTCCACTGCAGCAGCAAGCTGAGAGGTTAACTGATTCTGCTTGGTTCTCACAGCAGCTTTGCCCACTAGACCAGCCTGCTGGCCTGTTCTCAAAAATGATGATCTCAAGCAATCCATCACAAGATAATCATTTCATCAAAAGAACGCTCCTATTGACTGAATGCACCCGGAGGGCAGGATGCTGCCACTTAGTGACTTCTGGACATTCCCACAGACACTGGTGGTATCAGGGACATAAAGAACGCTCTGCCTTCAGCGGGGCAGTGAGAATATGCGACTTCTAGTCAAGTAATTTTGCATCGTGAGAGCATTCTTTTCAAGATATAAGTTTAGAAAGGCTGCTTGAAGGGATGGAAGATCCAGTGGGAACAAAGGGCTTCTGCACCCTACTTCATCATGACTCAGGAGGGTAGATGAAGCTAGAAGAGTGAAAGAAGTCATTACATTAGCTCAGGGAGCATAGTAACAACACAGAAAGCTGCTCTAGGTTACAGGCATAACATGCCCTGCTCTACCTAAACCCTTAATCAAATCCCAGCCTATGAAGAACCACAAAACCTTGCAAAATACAATAGATACGAAGCCTCCTTCAAGAACCCTCTGAATTCTCTTGCGTCTCCTATCTGCAGGCCCCTTCTGCAGCAGAAGGAAGAGAAGACCTTCACGACTGCATTGGCAACAACGACCTAGCTGAAAAAGAAGATCCTTCATCAGATGGAGCATTTTCCTATTTGGACATGGGATCTAACAGACAGCATGTAAAGAAACCTGCTGCTTTCAAGGGAAGCAGGAGTAGCTACAGAAAGAGCTGTATGTATTTCTGAAAGGTAATTTGCTTCATGAATTTGCTTCTGACATGACTACAAAGACAAACCTGTCAAAAAGTAAAATTTCAAGCCCGAAGACTTAGCTCAGTAACAGCAAGCAGCGACTGAAGAAGAAAGGAACTGCAAAGACTGGCAGGAGAGTGGAGAACTACAGACTCTGAATGGAGTCATCATGCCTGGGGCTGGAGCCAGGTTTAGGAAGCCAATGTGACTGAATGTCCAGGAAACAAGCATGAAGGGCAAGAAAATAGGGTTTGTCAGAACAAAAGGGTGAAAACGCCCTCCTCTACCGCCCAAGCCCATTTCCCAACAGAGACATAGTAGCTCTTCTGCCATGCCTTGGATGGAGGGCTCGACTCCAGCAGTTCATGCCAGCATGACCCTGCACAATGGATCTTAGCCTCTTGGCTCTTAAAATACTTGATGTTGCAAGTGTTCTCATGAAATACAGATTAAAAAGACATTTGCCAGGCTGTCCTGAGGGAGATGTAAAGTACCTCCAGTTAATATTCCTTGCATTTCTCTCCTTTATCTATTTCCTATTTTATTTTATTTACTGAGAGAGGGATACGTTCAGTTAATTTCACTTTCATGTGGGCATTTTTTACTGAGAGATTGAATTTCAATGATAAAACATTTAATACATACTGGAGCTGGATTTAAGGTTCGAATATTTCCAGCCCAGTTCTTGGGCCAAAAGGGAAGATGGCCTCCATTCAAAATGGCTACAAACCAAGGAAATAAGAGACAGAGAAAGAAAGGGAGTGAGAAGGAGGAATGGGCAGGAAACATAAAAGAGTATTTTGTGGGATTTAAAACCACATTATGTCCCTTGTTTTTGGGAACATTTATCAAAGTGAGAAAGCTGGATCTGATACTTGGTAGCCATCAGCTTGATAATGATATCACTCAAAGCCCCAAAAGAGCTGAACAGAAAGGCATTTCTCACCTAGACTGGGCAGCACTTTTCTTAGTGATGTGAAATGAAATAATGTAGAGGAAAAAGGAATATTCTGGGAATGTAGAAGAGCGGTTCTTCTGGAGAGCCTTTAATGCCTACCAAAACCTCTGTACCAAGATATATATTGCCTCTCTGCCATTCAGTCATTTATGGGAGGCTGGGACAGAGTTAAGTGTAAATAAACTTTCAGAAGGGCTTGTTTGTTTGTTTTTACACTATGTAAACAGAAATACACTTAGAATTCCCTTTCCAGAAGAAATGCAGAAATTCCTCATCTGGTTTGGAGTGAAAACTTTTTTTCAAACTATTAGAAATGACTTTGAAATTGAAACGTAGCTCTAATTTACTATAACCTCAAAATCTGCACTAAAACTTACTAAAAATCATAAAAGTGCAATGAATTATGCATAGCATTTCCAGCACAACATGGCACAGAATTCTGATATGATATGTTTTGTTCACTACAGGCGATAATTTCATTAGCATGGATGTAACACACATTTTGCCAGGAAGGAAATGAGATTTTGTATATTTTCTGATGTTTAGCTGGATACCTGTCTTTTTTCATTAAGTTCTTATGGATTCAGCTATGGATAGTTGAATTGTATTTTTAATTTCTGTCTGTAGGTCACACTCTCTCTTATGATGTTCTTGAAAGCACATCCTTTCCATTGTCGCTTTCTCTAAGTATCCATCTCAGGCCTGTGTTTCACATTTAATGGCTTTTATGATTGGAAGCAGTTAACGACATTTAAAAGCACATTCTCATTTTTTAATGTTTACTTCTGCCTACAAATTCATGCAATTATTAAAGAATTATTACAGAATAATTACAGAACTATTATAGAATGTAAACCTTCTGCTGTCCCCAAGGGGAATAGCTTTGGCATGAAATCAATCTTTACAGCACAGAATGCAGCTACGAGATGCAATACACTGACAAATAGAATCATCACTTCTGTTCTTCACAGAGCTGCCTATTTTGACTGTCTGATTACAGTTCTACTGCACCGTTTGGCTCTTCAGCAGAAGATGGGTACTCCAGCACAAGGACAGCCAGGTCCCAGCACTAACAAGCACCATGGGAACCAAACTCTCAGATGGCACAAACTGGCAACACTCCACAGAAAAGTTAAACTTTACTCTCCATTGTTAAACTCAAAATGGAAGCTCATGTTCATC